AGGGTCGATGGAGAAAAGCGCCACCTACATCCGGAAAGACTAATCTAGTCACTTAATGATTGGTGGTCGTCGCTATATTGTATTACATAAATACCTACTTATAATTACATATATCGGTAGGTAAACATTTTCAATATTGTAAAAGCATTCAATAACAACAAATATGCATTATATTATAAATTATTGACAATTTACTTCTTTTACAAGTCTTGTTAAATCATTAAAACAATAAATTAATATTCACGTATTGTTTCTATTACCACTTTCTTTAGTGTTATTTATAATGTTACATAATCGTGAGTAAACCTAAATATTGAAGAAGGTTCACAAAGCTAGTAGTATTACACGTGAACTCTTCAATTCTCGCCGTGACAAAGGGACCTAACGAGGTCCAAATATTCTGTGCTCAGAGGAAATGTGGAAGAAACTTACCTACTTAATACAACATCACAAAAATTCAATGCAATTTTCCTCATATTCAAGACAAAATTTTAATGTAACTGTAGTTATACATACATACTATTGCTTTGATACTCATATTACAGGTGGTTCGTATTTTGAGCTAATCGTTGTGACTGTGTGGCACATTATTATTAAAAAACATATCATCAAAGCTTCGCTAATTTTCCATTAACATGTCGGCCTAGCCACATTGAAACATTGCATAGATGGGCGTACCCCCTCGAGCGACCTTAAATGACACGAGGGTTGGTTGGGTGACACTTAAGGGTTCATTGTTTCCGATCCATTTGGCGGTGACGCAACGGGCTGCCTCACAAATTTTCATTATTGTCCGTTGCTAAATGAAAAAAAGAACGTTTTATATAACATATGTACAGAAATGGTTGGTATTAAAATATTAGTCACACAAGCAGTTAGTAGGTACTTATACGTAAATGCACTCTATTAGTTGTAAGTGAACACTAGCAGCTAGTACTAACTAATATTGTACAAAACCAGTTTTTGGTTTTTGAAGAAATATATGAAACCGAGCTAAAGCATAATAAATGCCATACAAATGTATCGTATCGTTTTTGAAATACTGTTTGCATCTATATAGCAAATAAAAACATAATTTTTTTATAATCTTCGATAAAGCTGCCATCTATTAGAACTAGAAAAGAGCATTGAACGCCATCTACTGGCCATACCAAAAACTACGTGGTTTACAAATCAGCGAGTGGATTCTGCGCTACTTATGTCAGCTTGCGTTACGATACAGTTCTGCGAGATGGCGCTAGTCGTCAAAAACGTGTACTTGCAGTAATTTACAAACATGACTATTTGAGGGAAGAAAATGTTGTTTCATTTATAATTTTATTAAAAAAGGTTATTAGTAAGATGGTAATTAAATAGATAATTTATATCTCTTGCAGAATCTTGCTCTGTAAATATAAAGATCGACTCCAGTGACGCCAATGAGTTAACTTATAATAAACACAATAAATACTTCTTTTGCTAAGTGTTTACTAATGATGAGGAAACCAAACAAAGATTTTCTACAAATTTTCCAGAAATTACCTCAGGAGGTATCTTACCTATATGTACTCCTTGCGTCCTCCTTACCGTACAAAAGGTAGGTCTTGTCCCAGTAGCAGATATCGATTGACCGATAAAAAACCCATGATAGAGCAACATACATTTTTCAAACTACGGACGACTTTCGATGCGACACGCACAGATAATAAACTGAAACACGCAATGTTCACTTCCTGGTAGGAAAGGTGATGGCTCCTAACCTTCAAGAACTTTTGATTTTTATATCTTTCGACTTATAATCCTTCAGCATGCGAAAAGTTATCACAAAAAACCGGGATTATCAAAAGGGATTATCAAATTTATCACATATCCGTAATGTTTAAAAAATGATTACAATATCTGATCAGATATTTTCTGTAACATCTCATATCACACCGCCTAATTGCAGTAGCCAAATTTTTGTCTAAAAATGTAGGATGTATTATATCTAATCGCCACGTTTGGAATAGTTTGGTATTAGTGATTCAAGTAAGAACGTTAACGTTGCTACTTCCTGGTTTTATTTCTACCCTAGATTCTTTTATGAAACCCACTCACGGAAAGATATTGTAAGGTGGATTTGTACGGTTTTATCTTTTTTTTAAATTTTCTTGAAAATACAATAGGGTAAAAATCAAATTCATAAGGGAAATAATACCTGTAAAAAACAATATTGTATAATATAGTATTTATTTATTATTTTCTTACTACAGTTTGAGTAATACTTGTTCATTATGAATATTAAGTTTGTATAAAAATCCATTTCTGTCTCTAGATGGTCAGCGATTTACTTACTTTACCTACTTAGTCATATTAAAATGTAATCAAATTAAAATCAATAAATAGTCAACTAATTAATAAATCGGTACATTCATAGTAATGGCTACTCACTAATTCTAATTTTCTAATTTTTTGTTACAGGTATACAAAGGAGTTACTTGAAATACAAAAAATATCCATAGGTAATTATTTCTTAGCGACTATTTGGCTCATCTTGTATTGGAAATTATTCCACTTATTGAAACAGCAGATATTTGGATAAGGATGAAATTCTCGAATCTGATGGTGGTCGCCAAGTTATCTTTTTTTTTTGATGCATCATTTGCTGCAGTTCGTGCGGCGTCTTACGTGGAGTGATAGATGTAGAACACCTCACGCAAAAAATGTAAATGTCACTTGTCTTACCAAAACACGATTTAGAATGGAATATTTCACACAGGTTGGTTCAACTCTCATCTTTATTTTTTCCTTGTCAAATAATTCCACGCTTAGTTGTTATTTTATTTTATCGTAATGTGGTAATGTGTAATCAATATAATGCAATACATTGACTGGGGCATGAGTAGAATAGAAATTTATCAACTAACCTCTGAAAAGGTGATGTTGAAGCGATATAGTGTTCGAAATGTTGCATCTTCATGTAAAGTTTGTATGTAATTAACCTAATTACGTATACACAAAACAGGATTGTCACTGATGCAGGTTTTTACTTTAACATCAGCCGATGCTGATTATACCGTACTGAATCTATCTACATGAAAACTTTCTGTTTTCTTTGGTGTTGTAATAAAATAATATTTCAATGACTTTTGTGACATTTATTAACAAAAGAATAAATATGTATGAAAACCATAATTCTACAATTTTTTACATAATTCTACAAGTTATATTAAAAACAACAGCTTTTTCAGATTACAGGCTGTTTCTCGAAGGTCTGTAAATCATTCAAGCTTGCCTTTTAGATCATTTCACGACCCGAACATCCGCAATGATTATCAGCATCGATGAATGCTGATGCGGAGGTGGATATTTAAATTTACGCAGATTATCCGCGAATGTAGATGCTGATATTTACAACAACCCTGTACAAAGCATAAGTAATACAACTAAATTAACTACATGATATTTTTAATTTTCTTACTTTTTCCTTTTTGTCTTTCTTAACCTTTTTTTTTTACTTTTTTATTTGGCTGGTTACAGAGTTATCAGTCTTAACTAGAAACATGCTTAAATACAATTCGAATATAATGGAACCTACTAGATGTAGCACATGCATATAATTTTCACGTAATTCTTACGAACTAATTTGGACTTGGATAGCCTATAATTTTTGTTTATAAACTAAATTGAAAAACAAATGAAGAAAGTGACTTAGATATTCAAAAACAAAAAAGAAATGCAAAAAGAAAAGTGTCTTATTGTCTGATTTGGCTGAGGATAAAGAACCACTGAAAATATCGAAAACATTTCGAATACAATTATAGTCACTACACATTCTATACAGAGGAGAATGATGACCGAGTCTTGTCTTATGTTTCCAAATATACACCTGCATCACCCTGGTAGGTGTACTTCCAATGCAAGGAGATTATGTCGATTTTTCATTAACCCTGTCAATTAGTAATACTTTTTATGTTTTATTCGTATAATGTGTAGAACAAGCTATACTTAAGAAGTGGTTACAAGTACATATGCTAAATACCAAATATAAGAACTATTACAAAACCTCCTCGACCGCGTCTACATAAGTGTAATAGCTAAGTAAAATTTCTAAAACCATTTCTGGTTATAATAATTGGTATGTAAATTTTTGTATAAAAGAAGTTTTTGCGTCTTTTCGTTTTGTTTATATACCGAGGTCTACGTACTTATACACATACATACACAAGGTATTACCATCATATATGCGCGATATTACTGTCTATTGCACGTGAGTGAAGAGTGAGCGGGAGAGGAGATTTGTTGCCGTGGTTAGTAGAATGGTTGGAAACGAGTGTTGATGGATTCTCCTGTTGGGGATTCTTCGATGCTGCGCGCGCATCAACTACAGGGCGGCAGGGCGCACCCTCTCGAAGAGCTAAGAACATTTAGAAATGACTATAAAACTTTTTATATGAAAATTAACATACCATTCTTCTCATGCAATTTCGACAAACAATAGATGTGTTGTATATACGGAAAGTTACATTATATTTCCATAACCACATTTCTATTATTATTACTAGGATAGGTACTAGGATATTTCAATAAGGAAGTAATATAGCCATTATGATGTTTTTCCTAAACAGATATAATACCCACATATACTCGTATAGTATTACATGGATGCATATAAAGATTCCAAGACTTCCTTTCGTTAAACTTACTATTAACACTTATTGATTTATTATATTGTTAAGTAATCAGTTACTGGAATGTATAGGAAAATATTTCAAAGTAGAGTTGATATTTATGCTTGGTTTATAATATGAATAATTCTTAACATTGGTTTTGGCAACAGTACAAAACTTCGACAAACAGTCCCAAGTAAACATGCAATCAATTTCGATAATGCCTATTGCCTTGTCTGGTAATAGCAAAAGTCTTCATAGGTTTCAGTCGCCGGTAGAGGCCGCCTATCACGACACATTAGGTTTTGCCGGCGACTGCTTCGGAGCGCCCTTCGAACCTTCGATATTCAAAACCATCTCTTTATCATTCAGTGTTTTAGTAAGTGACCCACCTCGCGAGGTAAGTTCTTTTCTTTTACCACCAAATGCACCGGCTTTACCTTCCCACCGAACATTCTAGAATCCGATAGGTGCTCTACGTTCGATAATATCACTTTCCTGTACACAGTTTGTTCATTATTCAAAATATCGATCGCACACATCATCTGTCATAATAACAACACGTTTGAACAGTGACAAAAGGCCTTTTCCATGTTGTATGTGCGCGTAATACCATTGTTATTTTTATAACTACGATATTATTAAGGAGGGTTCTAGAACTCTGAATGGTGTTAGGTGCCTGGATTTTCTATATATAGATGTTCTCGACCTTGACAATCGAACTACAATTATATATCAGTGTCTCAGTCTAAGTCAGTCTAAATAGACACTTTCAAGCAGCTTGAAGATTGATGTAGAAAACTAACCGACGAAAGCATGTACTTCCATGTATTATCTTCACATATGGTGGTGTACGTGGTTGGTACTAAGAGATAACAATTTATAGCTTGATACATTTTAATTCGGTTTTTATCATTTATTTATATTTTATTATCATTATATTTTTTCCATACAATGCTTATACAATTACTATTTAACACTGACATCGGTGATAAGGTAATCAGTTGATTAATTTGTCAATCAAGAGAGGATTACCATGTTAAACTTGTTGTATAAACACCTGCCTTTCTTTAAATCTGGACATTTTATATGAAATAAATATTTCGAAAATTCACAAATTTGCAGGATATTAGGTACACGAAATAATATGCTTAAAAAGAAAAAAAAAGTATTACCATAAAATCATTTACTCCAATGTGAAAAAATCATAAAGGACTGCGCCTTGAAGCTGATAGTGGCCCAGGAGTCTGGGTTTTCCCATTTGGTGGCAAAACTTTCTTTGGTAGAAATAGCTACCAGCCATCTAATCCTTAAAATGTTTCATAGACACCTGTTTACAATACAAAACAAATATTCTTTATTGCACAGTGGGACAAATATAAAATAATACAAAAAATAAAAGGACAGGTTCAACAGCAGGCCTTATTTCTATATCGCAATCTCTTCCAGGCAACCTTCGGGTTACTGAAAAAACTGTGAAAGCTCTTTAGCGAGGAGTTTCGCCTGCGGTTTCCCGGAACCCAGGGTGTCCACTGCATTAACCACATAGATTATAGTACGGGTCGACTATAAAAGCCAAATATTTTCTTCGTAAGTTCTATCAATTCATCATAGCATCATTTGTTTAGATAACGAATCTAATTTCGAACTAGCCTTTAATAAATTAATTTTAGAATATTTCACAAAATGATAAATTTTGAGCTTACCGAAGCTAGGAATCTCATCAAAATCTTTTGAAACGTCATGTTTAATATTTCAATACATATTATGTCACCTAGAATAGTGCATATAGAAATTTTATTACTATAGGTACAGTTGAACCCCGTAAGAATATACTTATATTTTTATGTATTTTTATGTATTATGTATGTAGCTATTTTACTGGATTCCTTACTTGATGGATATCCCTCCGGCTCTAACCACTGCCAAAGAGAAAATTGCGTTTCGTAACGATTACTTACGGTGGAAATTAGATTCGTTGAAAAAAATCTCACTTCATTCGTGAGTTTAACGTTAACTACGTTTTTGTTTGAAAGCAATTTAAAAAGCATAAATATTTAAGATTGCTGCACAAAATTGCTATGCTACCTAATATTTTGTACCTACTACTCAAAATTAGCAATCTATTTTTAAGGCCAGTGCTTAATATTACTTGAAACAGAGTACCTAGTTTTCTCAGTAGTTCATAAAATGTATCTAAAATCTAAAAAAAACAATTCAGCGGATCAATCAATACTAAATCATAACTCTTTATCCTCTTTTTTCTGATTGTCAGCAATCCTGAGTGGCTTTGAGGTAAATCCTTTGTGCAGGAAAAAAATCGGTACAATGATAGAATGACTCACGCCATGAGTCAGTTTTGGGGACACCGCAGAAAATACTTACTCCGTGAATCAGGAAAGAAATCTTTTTATCGTATTCCAAATTTAGGTACTTGTGTTTCGGCAAATGATTTCAAACTGTAGAGGTGCCTGTGAAAAATTTTACAGAGTTATTCTATGTCCCTTATTGGTGAAGCTTTAATAATTTATCGCGCAGAAAGTCTAATGAGCATTATGTGCGGAACTATTAAGTACTTCAGAATTTCCTGAAATTCACAGTCTCACCACTAAAAGTTGCTATCTAAAAAGTAAAAACAAATATTCTGTTGAACACGTACTTACCTCTTCAAAAGCAAGAAATGTGGTTTAAGCGTATTCCATGAATGTACCTAGAGAACAATTTATTCAGTGGGCTAAAAGCTTTATATACCCATTAAAAGATATGACTTGTTTATACAGGTGTCTATAAAGTCGACGCCAAATCTGAACAGATTTATTCTGGACATCAAAACTAACAATTTTAGTTCCTTACTATAGTAAACAATGTAAAATTTAACGCTCTATTTTTTATATGTATATTTTAATTCACACATTTAATTTTATTTCCGGGAGCCGTCGACTTCACAGACTCTCTTTATTTTTCTTAACCAAGTACCCCACTGTATTTCCTGAACCTCTATAGACCTTGCATAGTAGAGTACCTAATAGTACCTATACCAATAGACTTTTTCTTTAGAGGGCTCCCATGCGATGGGATCTATGTATATTGATAAATCATGATGATAGTGGGTGTAATAATGCCCGAGAGTGTAAATAAATCTTTCTAATCAGAAGCACTAAATAAAAATCCGTCATTTTCTAAATATAATAAATCAATTTTGTTTTCTTAAGTCCATCCACGCGTGTAGCTCGTGTTATTGTAATGGTACATATTGCAGAGAGCTGAGAGAGTGGATCGCACACGATAAACACAAAGTTCATTTATGTATTAATCAATTTTATGAACGGAACATTCTTTCTACTTTAGAGCATTCTTTTTTAGAGGGGTGTAAATGCTAAAATTTGACCAAAACTTGTACACAATTTCAATAATTTATTTAAAGTTCCAGATACCGTTTAGTAAAAATTTTCTCAATTCCGGATTTTACATTAAAGACTGCCATCTGCTTCGACGCGAAATTAATACTTAATATTAGATACTTTTATGCAATATATCCGAAAAACCTTGTCCCTTAATTTAGTTGATTCATTTCTCATTCAGTTAAACAATCTAATTTTGATGTCTCATCTTGCGGTCACATCACCCTCATGTCTCTGTTAGAAACTAGTTATAAGGTAAATTGTCACTCAGTTTGAAAATACTTAATAATAAATGACCAACTGATATAAAAATCGTTAATAAAACCTGTCGTAATTATGTTATTTATGATTTCCCACGCGCGAACGGCTGAGCCAAGTTAGACTGTCTCTACGCTGCTAATAATTGGCAAGGTATACATAATTATATTAATTAGTTACATTATTTAATGACGCAAATTACTAGAACCTCAAGAAGCAGATTATTATTTTATACCTATACATACTTTTTATATACAACCATTAAGTTAGATGTCCTAGAAGATATACCTAATACATGTTTTTATGTCAATTACGGACTGTACGATAGTGACCGCCATTGACGTAGAAAAGGCACATTGTGCTTTGTTATATAAATGTTCGTCGAACTATGGTCAAAGAAAAGATTTTGTTTGCTTTTTTGGTCATTTACAATCCAGGGTTCTTCGTCCGATATGCGTCCGAAACAATTACTGTCAAATCAGTAATACTTGACCAAATTGCATGCACGATACAAGTGAAGCTTCATATTGACTGACATTGTGTTTTGATTTAGTCGAGTATTACTTATTTGACAGTAATTGTTTCGGGCGGATGTCCCGGGCGTGAGTAGACCCCGAAGTTAATTCAGATGGCGGACTGGAAAGTTGCCGAAGTCAATGAATAATCTGTACATACTTTCAAAATAAATTTAATTTTTAATAAGTATGGATTTTCGATAACTTTATACCTAACGTGTAATTACTCCTTACTAAATACATATATTTTCAAGAAATGGAATACCTATTTCTTTTGGAACTATATTTAAAAAGAAAAGGTTCACAGTAATTTTCTTTACAAAGTTTTTAATGCCACTTTATTATAATGAAAACTGCTTTTATACAATAAATAACCTGAATATGCATAGTCATAACATAACATAATAGTGGTGGGTGATCCGACGCTGCCTTTGTAAGGTTTCCTAGAAAAAAAGGTTTAATTTGTCGTCTTATAACGCAACGGACATTGATTTATATGTTTCATGTAATAAATATTTCTCCGGGGCTTAAAGGAAATGAAGGTGTAATTATAATGAATGATCTTTATACATTTATAATAATTTATTGTTCGAGATTAATTTAAGAACTAACTTACAATATTGTCTTTGAACTTTATTTTTTACCTCCAAACACATTTTAATAATTATGCTTTCTATTTTTGCGTTTATATACACTTGTCTACGTAAAATTTACATTTGGTACACGTATGAATAATATTGTGACATGATCATTAACTTACACGGAATTTGATTTTCGCGAGATCAAAAGGATGGTCCTGTAAGTGCTGTTCATACAAATTAATTTTTTATCCTAAATTGATGTTTAATGAGTCAAACTCCATGATATTCAGTAGACGCGATTTAGAAACTATAATCGAGGGTCGTGGTTTGTCAGCTTCCCGTTACTTTATACAAAATACTATCTATTCAATCTAAAATCATATTGTTTGAATAACTATAAAACTACGAAACGCCGAAAGACATTTATCTCTAAGACACGTATATGTTTATACAATAATCTATAAAAAATATTAAAAACGGTGACTTTCTATATTACGCATAATAAATTGAAAAAAAGAACATTTTGTACTTTTGACTCATTCAGTTAAAAGTAAATAATCTCACCAAGAGCCGTGTCTTGAAAATAACACTCAATTATAGAACTAAAATACAAATAAATAGCCTTCGAAGTGACACGTTTTCGTT